TTGCCTCTGGCTATGCTCTCCCTGTAAACTGGCTCCTTAACCATACCTAGACCTAGTCAAGGCTTTCTTTTTTCTTTTTTTTTTTCTTTCATTCACTGGTCAATTTGTTGACACTGGGAGCAATATCAGTTGTCAACTTAAATCAAGTCAACTGCCCTTGAGCATTTTCTCTCAACTTTTGTTGATTTTTGTTTGCTTGCTTTATTTTATTTTTTGACAGAGTTTCACTATGTATCCCAGGCTGGCCTGGAACTTAAGATTCTCCTGCCTCTGCTTTCCCAGTGTGGGGATTAGAGGCATATATCACCATGTCTAGTTTTTTCTCTGGCTTTTGTTTAGGATATGATGTTCCCAAGGTGCCCACAAGTTACTCACTGAAGCCATCAGTATTGAATTGGAAATGACTTCAAGGAAGAAGCCAAATCCTCAGCCTCCAAACTCAAACACTTCAGGGAGCAAGAGAGAACGCTCTGCTATTTCTCCTCGCAATCCACTCCCTGTTAAGCCCTTTCCTTTCTGTTGGTTCCACTCTCTCCCATTTATGTCTGCCCACCAATTCACTTCTTTAATTAGCCATAGCATCTCCTGCAGAATGTTATCCGACATTCCACAGCCCCTGCAAATGGAATGCTTTGGGTTCAACACAAGGCAGATTAGCTTTGCTGGCTAACATGTTAGGGAAATGTTGAGTTTCTAATGTCACTAAGTTTTCTTCCAGTAGGGTGAAGGAGATACGCCAAAGAAAGTGAAGTAGATTCCCAGAGTGAACACATGGTCTCAGGGAAGGAGAGCAGCTGACAGATGATTCCTGCTTCTGTAGAGAAGGGCAGGTCCAAGCAGACAGTACTATTGTGAATACTTGGTCCCAAATGCTATACTATACAGGTAATTTAGGACTGGAAGTGGTTCAGAGCTCATATTTTGGAGATATTTATGAATCTGTAATAAGATCTGTACTTTTTATGGGAAGCCAAGCTTAAAAGTGTGGAATTTTCCACTCCTTGACACCACAAAAGCATGCAAAAGTTTCATATTTAGAAACATTTTTGGATTTTTTTTTAGAGATGTTCAACACATAAAGCTTGATCAATCCACTTTTCCATCTTTCTAGGGTTATTATTTCAAACCTTCATCATTTTTCCATCCCTCCTACACCATCTCTTGATTTTTAAGTGTGTGGCCACGGTTGATTCTTACTTCATAAAGAAGGCCAGAAACAGTCAGCTTTCCACTTCATGTCACAAGCCAATGCACCCACCTATACCGAGGCCACCTATGCTTTCTCTCTGAGCTCCAATCAAAGGAGGGCTCATCCACTTGTTTTCCAGACCCATTTCCTCTTAATACTGTGGATAAAAGGTTTTAGACCTTTTTTCCCTATCTTTTCTAACACCACTCCTTGTGTTCCATGTGGTCCTAAATCAAAATAAAACCCATTGCCTTTCCCCTCACACACTCCATGAAAGCAATATCTCACTCGCCATCCCCCTCCCTATGCACTACAGCCCACTCTCACCACTGATCCTGGAGAGATTGTCTGAGCATTGAATGAGCACCTACGAGCAGTGCTGCTGTTGAGTGTTGTCCTCTTGGCTTCCACAACAACACAGTATCCTGGTGGCCTTTTTACCTCATGGTATTTCCTCTTCACCAAACAAGGATGGGAATACTAGGGAGCAATGTCTAAGTGACCAGAGTCAGGGAGTATTTCGGGATGCAGGTTGACCACACCAAGGGTGCCGCTGTTAACTTCCGTCACACTGGAGCTCCTATCTCACCTGCTGAAACAAGAGTTCCTCTGCTTTGAGTCGCTCCATCATTTCCTGCTCCATCCGTGCTAATTGTCTCTCGTGCTCCAAATCAATCATATCTTTCTGTCTCTAGCAATTGGTGAAAAAGCAACAGCACACAGCTTATTAGAGGCCAATAGGTCAATGCAATGTTAGAAGCCTCCCTACCACCAGCTTCAGAAGAAGGGTCAAGAAAGCCATGCTCTATTCATTTGGAAACTATGCAACAATTTCGGGGAGTTTTATGCTTTAGCCAAACAAAGAATGTGCAATTGATATTGTATGTTGAATATAAAGAAAAGGTAAAAGTAGAAAAAGAAAACCAAGCTACAGCAAACATGTCAGAAAAGGCCAATATTGAGTTGAAAATATTTAAAATCAAAACAGAAGCCTTCTTTCTGTTTTCTTCCTCTCTACATTCATTCACATATTGCCCGAAGTTTTTAGATAATAAACATTTTTGTAATAGAAAAACAAGATTGAACATAAAAATATAGACAATATTAACTAATTATTGTGCTCTTCTAATTCCCTCAAAGGAGACCCATATTTACCTGCTTCTCCGAGGTCACAATGTCCTTGTACTTAGAAATCCACAAGGCTAAATATTCGATTGGATCCATTGGGCGAAGTCTTGCCACTTCTGCGAGACCTTGAGTTAGGCATGTCCCCAGGCACTCCTGAAGATATGTTGACTCCATTTCTAACTCCTGAACAAAACCGTCTACAAAAGTTTTGATTAGAGCCAAAAAGTGTTCTGACTAGGCGTAGATAAGAGTAAAGTCAAGCTAAGCAGTGGTAGCCCTTGCCTATAATCCCTGGACTCTGGAGGCAGGCAGACCTCTGAGTTTAATGCCAGCCTGGGCTACAAGGTGAGTTCCAGGATACACAGAAATACACAGAGAAAACCCAGTCCCAAAGTAAACAAAGAGTAAAGTCAAAGGAGGCTACCTGAATATTCCACCCTGTCACTGGTCATGGGTACTTCTCATTAGGGATGACATAAGCAAGCTGGCCCCAGAAAACTTCAAATGGTCTACAAAAGGATGCTGTCAAAGTTCTAGCTAAAATAGCTTCTCCATCCTGAAGGTTCTCATTTAGTCCCAGAGTCAGAACTAGACACTAGCATTGTTCATCACATTGTGCCAAGTTATGCTGGTGCCAGTTAACATCCACAACATCCCAGGAAATGGGCAGATAGGGAGCCAGACTCAAAGAACTTAAGTAAACAACCCAGATGGCTGGGCTGGCAGATGAAAATAGGGTTTGTACCTACTTCTTCTTCCTGGGAGAGAAAGAGAATGCACGAGAGCATCCTATGCTCCTATGTCTGTCTGTCTGTCTGTCTGTCTGTCTGTCTGTCTGTCTGTCTTCTAGGAGACATGCTCCTCTAAGTTCCCAAGGAGTATTTTGGTCACAGGGCTAACACCACTATCTCTCCATGGTGGCAAGTGAGCAAGTTTGGGCCCCCTGACAGCTGATTCCCAGTCTTCAGATATGAAGACTGCTGCATGGCTTCCCCTGGGTTAACTATTTCCGTTTACTCTGGAAGGACAAGCAGATAGACAACAACAGACCAAACAAATGAGTCTACCTAAGCTCAGACCTGTGACCCGGTGAGTTTATTGGGCTTGTTCGCAGAAGCTGAGGTGAGGATATATATCGCTGTGGGCAGGCTACTGATATTGCTTCATTAAGCATATGTTAGGTGCCTGCATTTGGACCTAAAGGCTATCTCCGACCTCATATGGCATGGAGATGGGCTGAGGAGATGAATTTTAATAACGAATCAGTAAATACAAGATAAAAACTGAAATATGTTTTGACATATTTGGCCCTGACAAACCAGAAAAGCCAGGAAAACTTTCTGTGATAAGTTGATATTTGAGCTAAGCTCAAGTTTGCTAAAGAAACAGTGACATTCACAAGGGAGAGAGAGAGAGGGGGGGGGAGAGAGAGAAGCAAGAACTCTAGCAGCCAGAGGAGACAGAGTGCCGGGTGCCAGTGTGTCAAGGCTTGCCTCTGGGCAAAGGCATTTTTGCCTCTTGTAGACAGCAACCTGACTGCAATAGTGATGGCAGAGTAAAGCTGACATCGGTGAGGGTGATTTGGTCACATCTAGAAATATCACAGTGTGTTCACCACTGCAGTTCTTGAATCCCATGTCAAAGGTGCAGTCTCAAGACTGAAACATGTGAACACAGTGTTTGCCCCATCATTACGGTAGTCAGACTGGAATACCACCTGAATGTCCAAGAAGAGGGTCAATTAGGTACAATACTAATGTACCTAATGATATATGGGATCTTGTAATGATATATGAGAATGGAAAAGCTCTCTAAAATAGGGAGTGGTTCCCTAGTGACTCACAGTGAAGGGTGGCACAGAAACTGCTTCTGCCACCAAAGGAATGTATGTGTGCATAAGTGTGCACTAAGAACTGATGAGCTGATCTACCAACTTGCCTTGGTGTCCTAACCACATAGAGAAAAGGATTATGGCAACTGACTGGACTCCATTGTGCTTCTTCAGTGAAAAATCCTCCAGATAAAACCACCACACGAACATCTCAATGCCATTTGAAGTTTAGTTACATAAAACATGGGATATCCTCCAGAAACATGGAACCTGGGAACCCGACAATGGTCATCAAGGGGAAAACTAATTAAGGAGTTGCCCAGGGTCTATCTGGGACTTCTGGCAGCTGCTTAGAACTCTCAGTGGGGCTTGCATGTGGTCCCTGTGTCATCTCTGTAACACCTATTACCTGTCTACGTGAGAAAATACTAGCTGTCACATCTACGCTAAGAAATGTTGCTTCCCAACAAACAGCAGTGCGCACCCAGCTCCACAGAAGAAAGCCCTTCTCGCAGAAATAACTGCTTCCAGCCTGGAGTAGCTACTTGAGCCATGGAAGGAGTTGCTCTGCCAGGGCGCGGGAGAGAGGGGACCTGGATATCAGCGCTGGATTCAACACTTAAAAAAAAATTACAGCAGACTCAGTTCAATTTGAGTTTCAGAGAAACACGACAAATAATTATCTTATACTATATTTGGGCTAGAACATAACCAGTTTACCTGTAAATAAAATTCAATCAGGCAACCACTAACCTAGATACTTACCTTAGTTTTCCTATTGTGTTGTTTGGCTAGAGGGCAGAGAAGTGGGAGGAGGAAAAAAGGAGGAGGAGCCAGAAGAGTGAGAGAGAGACTGTCACCCAGGCCCACCGGCTCCTTCCAGAGAGCTAACCCGCCCTCAGCCCCCGGGTGAGATCCGCGAGACTCGCGCAAAGTGTAATTTTGAGAATTGCTTCAGCAGAGACACTAGAGGATCGGTTCTAAGGGAACCGCTCCAGCCTCCTTGGTGAGTGCAACTGACGCAGGTCCCTGCCGCTGGCGAGTGAGTCGCGTCCCGTTGCCTGGCAACGAGTGTATGGCTGTGGGTAGAGCTAAGGTTCCATCCAGACTGAGGCAGTGGGGGGAAATTGTATGGGAACGCCTGCAGGGGACGATGTATGTGTGTGTGGGGGGGTGCTCACGAAGGGACTGGAAACGTGCGCCAGGGAGAAGGGATGTGCAAATGAGAGAACCAGGTTTTCCTAGGAAAGCACTGAGGAGTAGCGTCAGGACAGAGCGCTGGGACCCGGAGACAGAGACTTTAGGGCCAGGGATCCTTAGATAGGATCCCTGAGAATCAACAGGTCTTTGAAAGTCAGAGGAAGCACCTTTGATCGCTGGGGGCAGTTGCTAGGTGGCTTGGAAGTTTTAAGATTCCTTTCAGAGCCAACTCAAGCACAGGCAGCTCCAGGATGCCCAGAGACACCCTCCACTCTTATGCTTTCTCCCGTTACTCTGCTAGCTTTTGTCAGTGTGACACAAACCTAGACGTACCTGGGAAAAGGCACTCTCAAATAAAGAATTGCTTCCATCAGATTGATCTGTGGGCATATCTGTGAGGCATTTTCTCGATTGCTAATTTATGTTGGAGGACCACTATAGGTGGTGCCTAATCCTGGGTGGGCTTGGGAAGCTGGGAGGTGGGCACGCCTTTAATCCCAGTACTCAGGAGGCAAGGCAGGCGGATCTCTGTGAGTACCAGGCCAGCCTGGTCTACAAGAGCTAGTTCCAGGACAGGCTCCCAAGCTACAGAGAATCCCTGTCTTGAAAAAACAGAAAGAAAGAAAGAAAGAAAGAAAGAAAGAAAGAAAGAAAGAAAGAAAGGAAGGAAGGAAGGAAGGAAGGAAGGAAGGAAGGAAGGAAGGAAGGAAGGAAGGAAGGAAGGAAGGAAGGAGAAAGAGAGAGAGAGAGAGAGAGAGAGAGAGAGAGAGAGAGAGAGAGAGAGAGAGAGAGNAGAGAGAGAGAGAGAGAGAGAGAGAGAGAGAGAGAGAGAGAGAGAGAGGAGAGTGAGCCAGGGGAAGTAAACCAGGAAGCAGCATTCCCTTTGTGGTTTCTGCTTCATGTTCTTGCATTAAGTTCCTCCCTTGGCTTCCCTTGATAGTGGTCTGACTATCACCTTTACACTGAATAACACCCCCAAGGCTACCCCACTCTCCCCCCAATTTTCTTTTGGTCATGGTGTTTATCAAAGCAACAAAAAGCAGACTAGGACACAGGTCTGATGGTGTGTGTACCACATTGGGTGAGGGCAGGATTCTCCATGTTATCTTCTAATTTCTGTGATCACGGCACTGCTCATTGACAGAGGCTCAACAAAGTATGAGCCCTCCCTTTGCCCTCTCCACACCCCCAGCAACAGAGCCCTCGGACATATTTACTGAGTACTTAGTGTGTGCCAAGTACCAGGGATAGCATCTTCATAGATAGGGCTTGTCACTTTTAAGCAGTGTGTCAGTCACTCAACGACCCAGGAATGGAGGTGTCCCAGGAATGCAGCTGGTGATTCTGTGCCAGGATTCTCCAATGACAGAGGGCTACATCAGTGGCCAGGGATCACATTGGAGATTTTACATATATATATATTTTA